TATAGACGCAGGGCTGTGAGTATCTCTCTGTAAGGGCCTGACGGAGTAAGAACAGCACAGTCTCTCACTGCCTTAGAGCAGAAATCAGACAAAGCGCCTGAAGCCCAGCCCCACGGAGCCTCTGGAGCAACACCAGAAGGAAGAGGTTTGTTTATTCATTGTTAACAGACTCACAGATAATGCACCAACCATGGAGTTTATAAGAGAAGGAAGTTGGAGAGTGGGGGAGGCAAAGAATATCACCCAATACAACTCCAGATTTTTAGCCCAAGTTCCAAGGCACAGTCCTCACTTAGTCCAGGCTCTGGTTTCAGTTCAACAGTCAAATCCAAATCATCCAGCAAAGTTTGCCTCAGAGCATTTATAAGTCTGTTTCTCCTTGTAGCATCTATTAAAAACAGCAAATATTTTTATCTGTGGCTGGCACAAATGCAAGAAGCCTCAGGTCACACCTCAAGAGAAATGGCAGTTTCTCCACAGCAATGCCGCACAGCCTCTCCACCACCATCACCAGCGTCTCACTCTCACCAGGGTCTTGCTCCAGTCTCTCTCACGTCTTGCCACCACAAGTCTTGCTTGCCTCATCTTGCTGCCCAGTGTGGGGAGCACTCTTTCCCTTATTCTGGTCCTATAGCTGTTGATGACTTGCCAGGCCATGCTGATTTGCGAGACCTTGTGTCTTCAGTTAAGGTAGCTGGAGACTGGAGGGGCTAACTGGAATGGCTAAAAAGAGCCAGCTTCGAGGCTAAGACCACAGCCATGTGTCTCCAGCACAGCATACATCTTCAGTGCACAGCCACTCTTGAGGGGAAAAGATGAATAATGTCTTCCAGTGGAGGGTCAGCTTTGAATTGTTTCCTATTCTGCAATGCTGAGGTTTTTTCCTTTTTCACTGATCTGCTCATCTATCATTCCTCGGCCTTCATGATCTCAGCTTTATGACAGTTCTGGTCTCTTAGATCAAGCTTCTCATCTTCACTGTGTATCTTCTTGGCCCTTTCCCTCCTACATATAAATCTAGAGTCAGGTTGTCAAGCTTCATCTAAAAACAAACAGTTAAAACTCTTCTTCTACTCTCAGAAATGGAATTTACATACAAATTTGAAAGAGATATCTTTAAATATTAAACCTCACCACCTTTGAGCATAATTTCTCTTTGCATTTGTTTATCTTCTTTAATATCTGTTCATAAATTTTTACAATATTCTCTATAAATGCCTTGCATATATTTTGTTAGATTTATTCCTAGGTGCATCTTGGCTTGCATTGCGATCATAAATATATTTTCTCAAAAGTTTAATTCTCTAAATGTTTCTATATGCTTTGTGAGAATGTGAATTATTCATGTGTGTGTGTGTGTTAGTGCTGTATTCAGCAAATGTTGAAGTTACTTATAACTTTTATTTTCTCATATTATGAAATATGAGTATATACAATTATTTTTCATTTCTCTAATGTCCCCATCTTTCAGAGCTCTTCCCCTGACAAGAGTGGAGTTTCCATGAAGGCACAGATACTGATACTGTCTCACCCTCCCCCCTACATCCCCAGCGCCAGCAGCAGTACCTGGCACATGGTTACTTTTTGCGTTGTTGCTGTTGTGTGCCCTGGGGCTGGTTGTGCCTCTGTAGGATAGAACTGCCCCAGAAGAGTTCTGGTCTGTTCTTTTCAAAGGTGCATAGTGACAGTATAGGACAGAGGAGAACTGTCCCATCAGGTCCCCAAAGTTGTAAAATCATTGCAGGTTCAGAATGCCGCGTCTTTTTCCTGTAGAATCCCTGGTGAGTTTGAGCTGCCAACCTGTCAGCTGTCAGGTTACTCCACCGTTTGCCGCACAGTAAGCCAAACTCACTGAATATCTGTGGGATTTGTGGAATTAATTGGCTCAATCCCTGGTTCAGGACCAAGGAAGCAGCACACACTGAACACATGGACATGGTCTCTCACTCCACTCTCCTGGCTTGGAATTGGCCCTTCGTCCATCTGGGAACCTTGTCCGCATTGCCCAGGGTTTTCCACCAGTGACTGCCCAGTTTCTGTAAGTGAACCTGCTCGTCCAGTACTGACTCTGTCCCCCTTGTCCCTAGCACCATACAGGGCTTCTGTCCTTCAAAGACGTTCTCATCTCAGTTCTTCCAGTACACATCCTATCCTTCAGAATCATCGATCCAGAAAGAGAGAAAGGAAACACAACTTAACAGTAAGCTCTGGAGGTTTAGTAGCAAGAAATTATGTTGCCATCCCAAAGGCTCATGGTTCAAATCCACCAGCAGCTCTGTCGGAGAAAGATGGACATTCTCCTCCCGTGCAGATTACAGCCTCTGAAAACCCACTGGAGAGTCAGCTAGGAGTCGATTATGACTGCACAGCAGACAGCAACAACATGCACGTCAGCAAGGAGCCGTGGTGGCACCGTGAGTGAAGCACTGGATGCTAACACAAAGGTGGTCCGTTTGGACCCACCAGCCGCTCCTCAGAAGGCGGAAGTGCTCCTAAGATCCCGGCTCTAGAAACCCGCTGGGGCAGTTCTTGGTCCTGCTCGGTCACTGTGACCTGGAACCTGGCGGCCAGCAGTGGGGTTTGCTTTTTTAGGGGAGGGTTACAAGTTCCCGAAGGGAGCGCTGGTGGCCAAGTGATGAGAAGCTGCGCTGTAATCTCAAAGGCATGTGGCTTGAACGCATAGCTGCCCTGCAGGAGAAGGCTGAGCAGTCTGCGCTCGCTGACCCCACCTCTCAGCAGCGGCGTTCTCCAGCAGCGGTATCTAAGCCACACGACGTGGGAATGTGCTCCCGGGAGAGAAGTGTGGCTCGCGTAGGTGCTGCTGTGCTCTGGGAAAGGGGTTGATTTATGTGCAGCAGCTGGAAAGCCGAGGCTGCCAGCCCCTCGTGGTGTCAGCAGGGAGATGCCCCACCCCGGGACAGGATTTCTGTTTGGGTAGCACACGCTCACACATTTGAATCCTTCCTTCTCTCCTTTAAAAGTACTTCCATTTTTTCTCCTCTGATACATGTTTTATGAGTTCCCTTTTCTGATGAATGATTTTGCTGTGATTAAAGATTTCATGAAGTTATGACAATGGTAGAATTGATCTTCATTCTTGAGCGCTCGTAGGCAGCTGTCGGAGCTCGTGGAAATGTGCACGTGCTGAGGCTCTGGGAGGTTCAGAACCAGTCAGCAGCCCGTGCCCTCAGAGACACACACACAGCCTCCACACCAGAGCTTGTGACTGTGGCCATGCATTACACCTGTTCCCTGCCTGTTGACTATCTCATCATGTGGGATTTAAAATTTGTGACTAAAAAGGAGAAATACACTATATGAGTTTTGCAAATGAACAATATCTGTCTGGCAGTGTTGAATGCTGAGGTGACAGACCAGAGCACTGCTGGCTGGCCTGGCTGAGGTTATGTCAGTGAGGCTGGGCAGTGATTCTCAGTGGAGTCACAGTTACGGAGGGTGGAATTTGACAGCTATGCAATGAAAGGGTCCCGGTGTGAGCTGATGTAGTCATCTTCCGTTTTATAAATAATGTCCATTTTTGTTGTTTGGTCTTTTTAAACTTTTATATTGGTTTGTTTGTTTACGAAGTTCGTATGTGCTGTGTTTCACACAATTCTTCATTCGTATCATGTTTCGTACCGTCAGTCCCATGCATTATGTTTTATAAGCTCAGTCACCATTGGACCTTGCCCATCGTTACCCAATCTTTTCCAGTCCATGCTGGATCCTTCCGATTTCCTTCACTGTCTCCGTCCACTTTTTTCGTAAGGACCTGGTCTTTGGAACTTGACGGGGTTGTTAAGTGAGAAGTAGGTGTACGGTCTTCACCTGCTGTCACGTCACCACACCAGTACTTCGTAGCTGCCTCACAGCATTTTTCCTGTGTCTCCTGAGTCTCCGAGGCCACAACTAGAAATGGCCCCTGGTGTGAAGGGACACATGTGCAGTGACCTCACATGCTAACCCCTCCTCTGACAACACTCACACCCTGCAGATGTACAAGCTCCAATATCTTTTTCAGGGTCTATTATGAAATCTCCCTAACATAAAAACAACCCCATACACAGATCCTTTCCTCAGTGTCTCTTTAAAAACTATGAACCCAGCTCCTCAAAGGAGGAGAATGGCTTCTGTCTGCATTGCTGACGCCTCGGTCAGCCCCACCATGTGTCAGCCGTGATGCCCCGGATGAGGGTGCTGTGTTAGTGTCTGACAGACATCCTGCCGTACCAGGAACCCAGCGCCTGGTGGCAAACAGAGATGCCGCTGTTGCCTCGATGTCCATGGAGTCCGTGGTTCTCAGGCTCAGTGCCCCATTCTGATTCCCTCACTTGTGGCTGTTGTCATTTCTTAGGGTGCTCCTGGCCCTCACTGTCTCAGGTGGCAGCAGACCCCTTTCGAGGGTGCAGAAAAGGGGGCCCAGGGAGGATGAGGACAAAGCCTTCTGACAAGTGGTCCTTTGATTTGAGAGGGACGTCTCCAGATTCCTGAAGCTTATTGGCTATAACTTTGCCGAATGGAACACCCCTTGCGGCAAAGGATTGTGGAAATTTGAGAATTTTTTCTTCTCATCTTCTGTCATAGATGAAAAGCAAGTGTGTATAGATTCTTCAAATGATGAAGACTGAGAAATTCTCTGTCGCCTGTAGCAGTCAGTCATAGAGATGAACAGAGTGCCATCTCTGTTGTTGTACGCTCGGAGCAGACATCTGTACAGACAGGGACGATTCCCGTCTCATTCACCAGGGCCAAGCCCATCCCTCAGGGCCCCCATGGTGCAGTGGTGAGAGCATCTGGCTGCTTCTCCAGAGTTTGGCAGTTCAAACCCATCTTTATGGGGGAAGATGAAGTTTTGAGTTGTAAGTCTCAGGTCTCCATCACACCTCCACTTTATAGCTTCCAGACTGGGCTCTTGTCTGCGTCTCCTGAGTCCCCTGGGAACCAGCTGGAAGGGCCACAAAGCTTGCGGCTCTGACTTGTCTCTTCTCTTGTCATTGCAGCACCCGGCAGTGCCATCTGCTGCTGGACGTCTTCAACGCCACGGAGCACGAGCTGACCATCAGTGCCAGGAGCAACGAGGAGCTCATCCTGCACGCAAGCGAGTGCCAGCGGTGAGTCTCGAGCCTCTGCCGTGGCTGCCAGCGTCTCCCCTCACAGGCAGGGTGGCCGTTATTCAAGTGTAGTCAAGATATTTAGGGTGACCTCAGAGTCAAGTCCGCTGGAAGGTGTCTGTCCGGCAGAGACGCCGGGTTGCGCAGATCCAGCATCAGGACCAGCTCTTCATCCCTCTTCTTGAAGAAGCTGCGTTGTCGGAGTGTTGGGGTTGATACTGAGCTTGTGTGCCAATAGCCAGTCTGTCTGAGGAGCTAATTCCACTGACAGGCCGGCCTAGTTCAGGGTTAGGGTGCCGTGTCCCTCAGGCCCATGCTGTAGCGAGCGGCGAGGTGTCTCCTGAGCCTGGCATGAGATGAGCCACAGGAGACAGCCTGGCCCCGGAGCTCGGTGGTGGCTGCACCAGGAATGAGGCCTGGCGGGGGACCTCGTGGCGGGCAGAGCCGCCAAGTCAGGGAGGTGCAGCTCTCCTCTGGCACACCCCCTTGTCTGGATCCCAGGCACGCTCCGTGCCGCCCCTCCCAGGCCGGGAGGCTGTGCTGGGGGTTTAAGGGCGTCCTTTGTAGGTCAGGGACAAATCGTACTGTTATCTCTATCTTTCATTTCGAAACATGGCACACATCTAGAAAATAGCCTGGGTACCGGTGTACCGTTTCCTAGCTGTAAGCAGCACTGTGTGTGTGCAGACACGCCCTCCCCATGCCTCCTGCGGTGTGTTCCTCAGAACAGCTAAAGTTAAAGCAGAGCTGACATCACCCCACGGAGCTGCCAGAACGCTCATGCTCTGTTGGTGGGGCTGTAAGACGGTCCTGTCACCTTCAGGAAAGGACCTGTGGGTCCTTGTGGAACTAAACATACAGATAGCCTTCACTGAGCAATCCAGCCCTACTCACGTGAAGCAAAACTCCAGCCCTCCACTGGCTCTGACTCAGGGGCCCTGAAGGACAGAGTAGAACTGCCCCGTGGGGTTCCCAAGGCTGCAGTGTCCGTGGAAGCTGACTGTGTCCTCTCTCCACAAGCAGCTGGTGGGTCCTGGACAACAGCAGTCTGGTTAGCAGACAAGTCCTTTACCGCTGTATGTACCATCAGTGCTCGTTCCAAACAGAAGAGGTCTCAGCAGTAAGAACAGATTCGTCACTACAGACACAAACCGGATGGGCCAGTCTCTGAACCTCTATGCCGAGAGCAGTCTGACCCTAAAGCGCAGGGCCCGCACCATGGCCGCTCTCATATTTTACGCAGATAACACGCACACTGTTTTCACACAGTTCGCGCAGCCTCCTGACCCGTTCGTTCCCTGTGCGTGCTCACGCTCACCTCAGGCCTCTTCATTAGTCAGCTGCTGCTTGAAGTTCTTAAAGCTGATGTTCCTCACACACGTGTTTCAGTCATTCATAAGATGTTCGTCCGCTAGGTATTGACGCCTGGGAAGCTTGCCGTGTGTAAGCCCTGTGGTTGTGTTGTTTCGTACGGTCAGGTTGGAACTGCTGCCTCGCTGACTCTCCAGCAGGTGCTCCGGGGCTGTAATTGACCCCGAGGAGACGGTCCGTCTTCCTGCAGAGCACCTGGTGGATTTGAACCTGTGCCTTTGGAATGGCAGTGCAGCTCTTTACCACTTAGCTGCCAGAGCACCCTGCACCCTGTGGTAGGCCCAGGGTCACCCAGGTGGATGCCAGAAGACTGGAGAGCCTGGCCTGGTGAGGGTTGGCCCGATGGGACCTGTGTCTCCCTCAGTCAGAGCTGACTCACTGACCCTCACCTTCTGACCTGGTCTGGTTGTGGGTTGGGAGGGGGCGGGGTCAGTGATGCGCCTGTCAGGGAAATGACCTTGGGTGCTGGTCACAGCGTCCCGGCTGCTGTTGGGGCTCCCCCAGCTCCGTCTCTTCAGGGCATTTGTGGGGTGTAGGGAGGCATTTCCTTTTGCCTCTCCAGCTCCCCTCCCCTCGCCTTCGCTCTGGGGCTCCCCCATGTGCCCCTCCCCCAGCACGGCACCAGTGGCTGATCCTGTGATGAGGGCTGGTCACACGCCAGTGCCGCCTGCGGGAGAGCCCGTCCTCATTTACAGATACAAAACCCATGGATCTGGTCACGCATCCATGCCGTCCGCGTGCAGGGGGGCCGGTGCCCAGGCTGCTCTGTGCATGACGAGGGGGAGCTGTGAGGTCAAGTAAGACAAGGAGGGGTGTGAGGGGGCAGTGAGTCCCCTGCACGACCTTGGCTACTGCTCAGGGCACAGAGACTCTGTGCAGGAGGGCGAGGGGGTGTGTTCACTCCCTCACTCCGCACGCGTGCTCTGCCTTGTGTGGGTGACCAGGTGACCAGTCCGAGTGCTGCCCTTGCTTTGGTTTGGACCCTGGTCCTGTTTAAGCAGATGAGGCAGGAGGCTCAGGGAGGTCACGACTCACGAAGGGTCATGCAGCCGCTCTGCGTGCATGTACGTGTGTATGTGTGTGAGTACGTGAGTGTGTACTTGTATGAGGAGTGGTGTGTGTATGCGTGTGTGTAGGTGCGTACACTCATGTAAAATGAAGACTCTGGCTGTTGTCACACTGTCTCTAGAATTTGTTAAGATGCCAGGTGTCCCAGCTGGCACTGGAAGTGCCTCCCTGCCTTGCCCGCTTCCCCCTAGAAGCAAGTGAGTCTCTGAGCCTTGTGCTTTGGTGGCCTGGTCAATTCCAGGCCGACGCCTCGGTGCTGTGATGTTTTGCCAAACCTACCTTGTGGCACATGGCCTGCTGTGACAGTGTTGCTAAGACTGCCCATCACTGTCCGGAAGTCACTCCCAGTGTGGAATAGCCCCCCTAAATTGCTCAGCCTTCCATCCTGGGTTCAGAGGATGCCAGATACGGTACAGCGCTCTTCTGAGTAAACTTTGAGAGCCACCGGCAGCAAGGACTTTAATTAACTGGAAAATTCGTGTATGGTAATTATTGTGCTTTTTGCTTTAATTACTAAACCATTAAAATGGCATTTCACACACGCTCATTTGGGCACCCAGCTATGTAGCCTGTGGTGGGAGCCATGGTCTAACCATTTGCCTGGCACCTGGTCCTGTGTCCTGGCGGTGACCAGCTCCTATGTCACCGTCACTGTCCCATGGCTCAGCCCTGTCATACGTCTCGATGGCTTTCCCGCTTGAGGGACAGAGACGCTCCACCAGCAAGCCACCTGGGTCTTCCCCCTGAGAGCACGTGGACGTGAGGCCCCCTGGACTCCAGCGCCATCTGGACGCATGGGGAGTGAAAGGGCCTGGATTCTCGCATGTTCTGTTGTTTAGAGATGCACAGTGGAACGAGTCACAGTAACACTGTGGGTGAATCACAGGTAACCGAAAGGGGGTGATTTATCCCAGCTCCTCACGAGGAGATGACGTGCTCTGCTTCCATAAGGTTTGGGTCGAGGAAACACTGTTCCATTCTCCTCTCACTTCTCGGGTGCTTACAAATCCAAGTCCTCTCAGTGGAGGGAGTTCTCCTTTCCGCTCTGATGGTCTAGAGTCTTGTGAGGTATAAGGGGCTCCCATCCTTGGCCGCTCACTGGCCCTGCTTCCCCGAACGTCACCGACACTCTTACAGAGGGAAGCTCTGCTCTGGCACGGGAGGCCGCCATGAATGGGGACACATGACAGGGGTCTGGCCACAGTCGTGCAGTAGCTGTAGAGACAGTGCTTGGAGCCCACCTAGCTCTCGTGACTCCTCCAGGCCTCGAGGACAGCGGCGGAGCCAGGCCCAGGGGGATCCCCGCACTCAGCCGTGGTCTCGGGAGCCACTGCAAACACGTCTGCAGACGGGGACGGTCGGAGGGCAGGTGAGGGCCAGTGCTCCCTCCCACCTGAGCACTCACTCCACACATGGCTCTTCCACTGAGATACTCATCCGCAGAGACACAGTCGCCAAGGGACCCCAGCACAGCCGGTCCAGGGGCAGGACGCAATGCAGGGGCCGGACGCCGTGCAGGGGCAGGACGCCGTGCAGGGGCAGGACGCCGTGCAGGGGCAGGACGCCGTGCAGGGGCAGGACGCTGGTCCAGAGGCAGGACGCAGGCCCAGGGCCAGGACGCTGTGCAGGGGGCCCAGCCACCTTCCTCCTCTTTCCTGTTTACGCCACTGCACTCCCAGGTTGTGTCATCAGTTCAGCGCCCTCAACTCATTGCCACAGTGTTGGAACCAAATCACAGCTGGCCGTTTGGAGGGTTCCCGAGGCCGGGAATCACACGGGAGGAGCCTGTGCAGCCTTCCCCCACGGACGGGCACTGGGGCATCTGAGCTGCCTTTGGTCAGCAGTGAAACGCCTTATGTCCTAGGCCACCAGCAGTCCTGGAGCCGTCAGATACCGACCAGTCATGGAACCAGGAAGTACAGACGAGAACCGCCAACTAGACCATCAGCAGTATAATGAACACCTCGCATCCTGCCAGTCACAGCCGATCTTTTCCCAGCTTGTTCCCACTTCTGTGTTATTTTAGAACCAATGTAAGACATCATGTTATTTTATTTGTAAACATTTTAGCATTTAATGCTGGAACTCTTTATTGAAAAAACATCACCATGGTATCCTAGTGCCTGTGAACGAGTAAGTCCTTACCCATCGACGCACAGCTGACACTGGTGAGCTTCCCACTTGGCTCAGTCACACTTTTGAACAGTTTCTGACTCAGAATTCACAAAGAAGCTACATCTCAAGTCCATTTGGAAAATGATTTGTTTGTTGTTGGGACTGTACGGATCCTACGTTTCCAGTTCCTTTCTCGGGTATATTCAGTGACGTTCAGTGCATTCTTGGGGTTGTGCAACCGTCTCGTCCTCCTTTCTGACTTTTTCTTCCTCAGAAATGTAAACTCTCTGCCCCCCACGTTTCCTGCTCATCTTGAAGCTACTGTTGTGTGATTCCAGCAGGACTTTGAATAGTCACTCACTGCCCATGAACGTAACTGGAATACACTGGAGTTTGTAAGGTGTAGATGAGCTATGCCATAACCAGAATAGAAAAGAATTTACAGGCCAGCTCTCTGCCTGCTAGAAACTCAACCCCCATTTCAGAAAACAAGGGCAGCAAGCAGATCTTTGACCAGCAGCCTAGATAGCTTTGGAGCATTTGACGGCGCTGCTCGCTATGGTCCTGATAGTGACCCGCCTTCCCCGTTGGGCTCCTGGTCACTGTGCCCCTGCCTCGCCAGGCCTCACATCCCAAGGTCTTGGCTGTTTTATCGTCAACTCAAGTTCTGCTTCACTCACATAGTGTGATTGAGATCTGTTTCAGTTTACTTCATCACCCATGGCCAGACTGGTTTGAACTAGCTCACAGCCTTGACTCGTGTATCACATGCTCCTTGCTGTTAATGCCGTTTTGACTCCTGGCTGACCATCCCTCTGGATCGCGAGGCTGTGCATCCCCTGGGAGGACCCTGCTCTTTGTCTCACAGAGCTGCTTGTGGATTCGAACCTGCAGAGGGTGCAGCCTTTGTGTCAGGGCACCTCTCTGCAGACGGCCCTCCCAGAGCTCCCCGAGTTGTAGACCGTCCCTAAGCGAGTACGGGCTCCAGCCAAGCTCGCTCTCAAGGTGTGGGCTCCCCTCCATCATTCTTTTAACCCCCTTTGAAATAGTTCCACTGAGTGAACCAAGTCCAGGGGCAGGAGTGGTGCCAGTTACAGCTTCTGATGATGGAGATAGCCTGCCTCTCAGGTGGCATTCATTAACACTATAAAATTACTAGGAACATCTAGATGCTTGATCTCTTTTTTCCTTTTCAAAAACTAGCCCCCAGAGTTTTGGAGTGGGGCCTGAGAGGAGGGGAGCCAGCAGGACCTGTGGCTGTGGGCATGGAGGGCAGCCCACTGGTCTGAGCTCTGGGTGTGGGCACTGATGGGGTGGGTGCTGTTCCGGCAAGCACAAGTTGTCATTGTCTCATGACCCTTGGCCTTTCAGACACAGCTTCAAAGGGAGGGGCTCAGGCCCCTGCGTGGGTGGGGGAGGAGGGTCTGCAGCTCGGCCTGGCTCTGTGTTCCAGTCTGCACTGTGGGGGTGGCCAGCAGGACACAAAGGGCCTGGGGTGGGCATGTCTGCTGGGCGGGGCCCATGCCAAGTCCCAGGCCTTCCTTAGAGTGTCTGGTGTAACTCACACGGTCATTCGTCAGAAGACTGACTCGTGGCCTAGAACAAACCTGGAGTTGCTTCCTGGCTGTGCTTACACAGCGTTTCTCACAGAAGGAAAGACGTGCTTTGTGTTGAAATCAGCACGGCATTTGGCTAACACGGCGGTCTTAGAGCAGAGCAATCACCTTTTAGAAGTTTGGCAGCAAAACCCCAGTGAAATGAGGCTGATATAATGGAGTCTTTTAATTCGAGCTGGCCCAGAAAGTCTCTGTGAAGTTACATTAACTCAGAAGACCTCTCAGCCACTGGCAGGGCTTCAGATGGGCTCAAAGCAGTTCATGCCAATGCAGCAAAATCAAAACAGACCCACATTTGTAAAATGTGAACGCACTGGAGCAGCAGCAGGAGAACTCGAGGGTCAAGCTCGAGAGTGAGAGATGCAGAGACTGGCTCGCGCACAGGACTGGAGAACCCCACACACTCAGGGGCTGTGGCTGGCCACCGCATTTCAGCAGGGCACTGTCGTTTCTTACTCAGCCGGTCAAGACATCTGGTTGATGCACCAGACATGCTACCCTTGATTTCGGAAAGGGAGATTGTGTTTGTAGCAGGGCACCAGCCTGTAATGTCTCCTCTTCTGGTTATCTCTGTGGTACACCAGCTTTTACAGATTTGATTCTGTGGCTGTTTTACTTAGGCAGCAGTGATCGAATTGGACGGAACTGGTTGGAAATTCTGGCCACTGGAATGCTGTCCAGTGAAGTCAGGACTGACGAGGGAAGCTGGAGCCTTTGCAGGGGTGAGGAGTGAGGGTGGAGGGGAAAGAAGGTGTGCCCGAGGCTGTCTGCACAAGCTGTTAGCTGTCACTTCCCGTCTGTGAACATTCACAGTCTAGCCCTTCTCAGTAGAATGATTCTCTGTTCATATTCATGGTGTTGTCACCTCCCCAAGCCTTCCCATTTGATCCTTGGTGGCCAGAGGGAGAGTGGCCAGGGAGTCCTGTGAATCTGACAAGATCACCCACTAGAATGTGTCCAGGACTGACCAGGGGGCATCTGCCTCGCTGTGGGGAGCCTGCGCTTCTGCACCTGTCTGATTTCTGGAGTGCCCTGAGTTCTTGTCACAGGCCCACATGTGCCAGGCAGGCCGGCCGGCATGTACTTGACAGTGGGGAGACGCAGGGAGGAAGTGTCCCAGCTCATGACCTGTGTGTGGTCAGCACCCCTGTGGACCACGGAAGGTCGCACTGCTGGCCTGGCCATCCTCCCATCGTGGTGGGAGCCCGCGGCCAGCACGTGACAGGCCTTCTATCAAGCTTTATGTCCTTTCCCAGGAACCAACCCGTCTTGATAACAGACCCAAAATATTTAATGCAAAGGCAGGCTCAGTGCTGATGTTTGAAGGGGATGCAGTACTCGCCGCTCACGGGGTGAGTGTGAGATGGTGGGGACGGCGGCACCGATGGCCTGGTGTGTGCTGCTGCGTTTGGGTAACTGCTCCATCAGTGGCTGTCCCCTTCCAGGTCATAATCACCTTCTCCTGATCCTTCTTTCTGAAATGTGTGCACCGAGGGCACACTTAGTTAGGACTTGGCTGCGGGTCATTTCAGGTCCAGTCTGGACCTCCAGGGCCCTGTTCTCCCGCCCCATGTCGAACCATCCCGTGGAAGGAGACCTGAGACGTCAGACCACAACTTGTTTGTGCTTAAACCTCCCTCAGCACATGGGGTCTGGGGCAGAGCCTCATCCTTGACCTCCCTTCAGTTTCACACAAGCATCCTGTATAGAGGATTTACAGCTGAGCTGTACCCCATAAAGTCTCCTTCAGAGACGACCTAGTGCTGCGCTGATGGGACTGTGTGCTCGCCGGCCTGCACCGTGTCCGCTGGCTTGCTGCTTTCTGGACTGCTTACTGCAGTCAGATTTAAGGACATTCTTCTATTTCCAGTTAGTCTTCTCTGTGGCTGCTCTGTCCTCTGCTCAGCGTGGCTCCCGTCCGCTTAGCACAGAGCAGCGCCCTCCTCCTCGTGCAGACGTGGCTCTGCTGTGCTCTGGGGATGTCTCCATAACCCGGAAGCAAGGGGAGGGCTGGTGAGTTCAGTGGACGTGGACCACTCGGCCATCCTGACACTTGAGTGATGATACGCAGACCTTCCTCAGCCAGCGTCACCAAGCGCTTAGCCGGACCTTTGCTTCTGGGAACATTTGTTCTTGATAAACATTTCAGACCATGAAAATTTGGGAATGCATCACTTCCTGTCCACCTGGCTCCCAGGACCGTCATGGCTCTGTTGGGTGGCTCTGTGTGCCTGGACATGGGTACCGATGTGTGTGGTGTCAGAATCCACATGTGCTGAGACACTGTGAGCCCCACTGTGTCACAGCAGACTGCCATCCGTGGCCCTTCCAACTGTGGAGCTTTTGGAAGAAGATTTCCAGGACTTTATTACAAGGTGCCTCTGGGGCAACTTGACCTGAATGGTAACCATCTCGGAACACTCATACCTGAGGCCGGAAGCTGAGGAAAGACGGCTTCTCTGGTTGATCTCCATCTCCATGAAGCACATGTCACCTTTCTGCATGTCATGTGTCCCGTGGAACATCCGGTTCCTGCATGGGAGGGACCTGTACAGGACGCAGGGTCTGGAGTGAGCTGGGAGCCTGGTGGACTCAGAGTGGCCCGAGCCGGGCAGTGAGGCCTGGTGCCCTGCACGGCCTTCTTCTTGGTGCTTTTCTGGGCAGCATCTTCTGCATCCACTGAGCAGTCCTCTCTGGTTTGGCACCCAGCAGCACTGCGGGGACCCAGCACTTTAAGGACCCGGCACTATGAGGACCAGCACTGCGGGGACCCGGCACTGTGAGGGCTAGCACTGTGGGCACCCAGCACTGTGGAGACCAGCACTGAGGGGACCCGGCACTGCGGGGGCCCAGC